ATCTTGTAAACATTTTCGTTCAAATCACTACTCAGAATAAATTTCAAGCTCTTTATCCAAACCTTTTCCCATTATTCCAATTGAATTCGTATACCTATATTTTGTGCCCATTTAACCATGCAATCTTTCACGTGTTCTTCCTCCACGTCATATTATAACAACAGACTGATCAGAGGCCTTTCCTGAAGATTAAAAAGTGAGAGTCATATTTTCCAAGAAAAGTGTAGTTGTGCGGTAGGGGGCGAATTTCGCCATCTCTCTACTTCTGTAAAAATTTGTTTACCTCCATGCTTTTTTTAAAACTTCCTGATTGTGAAACATGTTTGAGAGTGAGCTGCCCTGCCTAGGAGTGTACCGGATTCTCTTTCCATGGAGGTTTTTAAACAAAGGCTGGATGGCCATCTTTCAGGAGTGCCTTGTGTGTTCATGCATGACTGAGTGTTGGATTGGATAGTCGCTGTGTTCTCTTCCAACCCTATGATTTTATTATTTTTATCTTCATTATGATACCATCCCCAACGATAGAGACAATTTAAGTAAAGCCAAGACGCTTAAATTGCAGAATGACGGCCCTGTCAATCATTTGAAGAGAGGGCTACTGTGTGTCCACACTTCTAGAACAACCTCTTGGTTGGGAGACAATTAAGCCTCTTGTCTCCCAGACCCCTTCCACACAGCTGAATAAAATCCCACATTATCTGCTTTGAACTGGAATATATGGCATTGTGGACTCAGATAACCCAGGGCCTTTCCACACAGCCCTTTATTCCAGAATATCATGGCAGAAAATTCCACAATATCACCTGTAACAGAAGACTGGATAGCTAAAACCATAGAATATATCAATATGGACAAACTATCACAATCAGAGGCAGCCCTAGGTAATTTTCAACGGTAAGCAAACAGTATTTTGTCGCCCCCCCCCCCAACCAATCTATATATATATATGTTCGTCGTGGGAGTTCTGTGTGCCATATTTGGTTCAATTCCATCATTGGTGCAGTTCAGAATGCTCTTTGATTGTAGGTGAACTATACATCCCAGTAACTACACTTGCCGCACTTGCTCCCTTGCCTGGCCCGCTTTGGGTCTGGAGGCATGCCTGAAGACCCCAGCGTGTGCACCAAAAGTCACCTCTTCTCCTGACTTTCTCCTCAGCCATTGGGACCAAGAGAGAGAGAGAGAGAGAGGTGGAGATGCCCACCTTTCCTGAAGGTAGGCGCAAAAACAAAAGAGGGAGCGGAGGTGGGAGATACCTCCAGCCGGAGGGGCTCTCTCTCTCTCTCTCTCTCTTGGTCCCAATGGCTGAAGAGAAAGTCAGGAGAAGAGGCGACTTTTGGTGCGCACGCTGGGGTCTTCAGACACACATCCAGACCTGAAGTGGGCCAGGTGCGGTGGCTCTGCCCCTTGGCCCACCCACGGATAGGGGAGAGGAGAGGAGGCGAGTGGAGCGCCGGGGGATCGGAAAAGGGAGCCGGCATGGGGAAGGGATCGAACGCGGAGAACGATTGAGCGCCGGCTCTGCTCGCGCACCCAGTGGCTGGGTGGAGCAGGAACGAGAGGGGCTAGGCGAGGCTCAAGGGCCCGGCCCCTTTGGGAAGAGGATCGCCCGGCAGCGAGGCAAGAAAGCCGAGGCTCCCCCCGGACTGCTAGGGCTGTTGTGAGCTGAGGGAGCGCTCCTCAAGTGGCGGTCAAGCAGCATTTACAGAGGCGCCTCTGCGCCCCTGGCAAAAAAAAGTGTTCTGCGACCGCTTACTTCGCATAATGGACGAGCCGCCCCTGTGTAGAAGAGCCCCATGAAGTCATAAGACAAAGCGGGCAGGAATTAATGAATGGAAGGGGAATCCATTGTCCTCCAAATATTTGGACTACATCTCCAACAGTCCCTTGCTCACTGGGATTTCTAGAGTTGGAATCAAAAATGTCTGGAGGGTTAAAGTTCCCCCATTCTTCGACTAAAGGGAGGGGAGGAAACAGCATCCTAGTCACTTTTTACAATACAATTAAATAGAGTTTGTAGCTGTTATTATGTGCCTTCAAACTGATTCTGACTTTTGGAAATACTATTGTTGGATTTTATTGGCCAGAGAGTTTTTGAGGAGATTTGTCATTGCCTTTCTTGTAGCCTAGGGCCCTTCCTTGAGTCGCCGAAAGGCTGAGAAAGGCAGTATACAAATATAGTAAATAAATAAATAAATAATCATGTATTATACCTTTACTTGGAAAATGAGGTGCTAAAAACCTATCTGCAGTCCCAAGAATTTAAACCTATTTAATTCCAGCCTCTTATTACTACCAAGTTGTACAGGCCTGCTATAGAGCTTCCCCAAAAGTTCTGGAGCAGCCCCATACTTTGAGGTACTTCTAAGGATCCTGAGTTCTGATTCAGTAACTCAGGATCCTTAGATTACTCCAAGCAAAGGCACCCAGGGACAATCATAAGGTCTTTGAAGCTCTATGACAGTTACTACAGCAATGACAATACAAAACAGGCAAAGATGAACATCCAGGCCAGACCCATGCTAACTGGACTGTGTAGATGCACCCCCAGTCACTCGTGGGGACAATTTTGAATGCTGGAGTATTTTGCAGTTTGAAATTCTGAAAAAAGTATACTCAACTTGTATTATATCATATTCTGTAACAGGATCAAATTACTTTTAAGAAGTAACTTCTCAAACTATGCAAAAAACTTATGAAAAGAAACTGCTTGAATGTAGTAAAAGCTTGATAGCCAAAGAACTGACATTAAGGTTTTTAAAGAGAGAGGTAAATGAATACAGTGCCTTTGAGACTATCTCAGGAGACATTTCTAGCATAAGCTTTTGAGGACTTAGGGCACATTTAGGTCAGTAGAAATCTAGATCAGCTTTGTGACTGGGATCCCCCCCCCCCCGCCTCTTTAGCAGCCGGGGGAGTCCCTGTGTGACCAACACCTGGGCCAATCCAGCACATGACATTCCAGATTTGCCCCAGATTGCCAATCTGTGTAGATCTGCACTTAGTCTACATTAGCAAATGGATCTGAGGCCACAAACATGTATATCAGAAATTTCTTCTTCCCATTCAGTCTAAATGAGCCCGGTAAACTGTGGGAATACCCACACCCCTCCCCCCCAAGCCCCCAGGCCCCTTAGAAAACTAATGAAAACTTACCCGGACTTCATTACATACTTCACCCAGCTCTCCCGGCATGTTGAAATGATGTGCCAGGAGAGCGAGGGGGAGGAGAAGAGAGAGGAAAATCCCCCCCCCTCCCGCTCTCCTAGTGTGTCATTTCTACGCGCCGGGAGCTGTGCAAAGAATGTAATGGAGTCCGGGTAAGTTTTCATTAATTTTCTAAGAGGTCTGGGGCTTGGGGAGAGGGGGTAGGGCCTCCAGACGTTCTCTTGGGCTAGACCTGAGAGACCGTCTGGACACCCATCTCAAAAAGCGTGCATTTTTAAAACGCAGATTCTCCTAGGATAATGGCCTGTCTGGATCCGGCCTGAGGCAGACTGGCTGAATTACTTGCTGAATACTGTACATCTACACTTATATAAATTCCATTGGTGTGTTATGTTGTTAATTGACATTAGGTTGACTTTTACTTAATGGTGATCCTGTGAATCATGTCTCCAAATAAACATGTTTTTAATAGTCCTGCTCAGGCTTTTGCAGATTCAGTGCTGAGCCAATCAACTTGTAATGCAATCTTCTTCTTTTACTACTTCCCTCAATAATGTAGTTTTTTCAGTGAGTCATGTTGTTTTACAACATGCAAAGTACATTGATAGAATGGGTCTATTCCACTTGGAACAAGTAATAGGATTTAGGCCATAAAACGTTTTGGGTAGAGGTTAAGTATCTCTCTGTCCCACCAATTCCTTATTTATTTATTTATTTATTTATTTATTTATTTATTTATTTATTTATTATATGCATTTATAGTATGATTTTTTACTTCCAAAGCAACTAATACAAAAATCATAACAAGATGTAATACCCTCAGTGATGCTATTTGATCAGTTTTTAATTAGTTTTTCTTTTAATCATTACATGTAGCCTGCCCACTGTCGCTGTGATTGTGTTTACTGTAATTTTATATCATTATGCATTCATATGTTTTATGTAATTATGATGTTGTTTATTGTTTTGTTTTTGGTTTTATTTTGCTGTAATTTGTTGTTTGGCCTTGGCCTCATGTAAGCCGCCTCGAGTTCCCATCGGGGAGATGGTGGCGGGATATAAATAAAGATTATCATTATTATTATTATTATTATTTTCAACAGAAACAAGTATTGCAATGGTTGAGACTCTCCACAAGAAATCCTGCAAAGCTATACCTTCTCCCACATTTGGTGGGGCTTTAACTGTGGATCCTTACCTTATTTTCGGGCAATAGTGTGTGTGTGTGTGTGTGTGTGTGTGTGTGTGTGTGAAATTGTATATTCTTTGTATGTTAACACATGTTGTGAACCGGTCCGAATCCCTCTTTGAAGGTGAGAGGGTCGGTATATAAAACCTCAAAACAAATAAATAATAAATAAATAAATAAATTAAAGCTTATATCACAGAAATACCAAAAGCCTCCCATAATTTGCTTTTAAAAGAACAGAAACCTGGGTTGACATTGAACTGCTGAAAGTTCGAGCTGCTCAGATGTACCAGTGGTTCCCAACCTGTGGGTCATGGCCCAATGGTGGGCCACAAGAAGGTATGCAAGTCACACCTTCTCAGCCTCAGTGGAAGACAATGACAAACCTCTAAATAAATCTTGCTAAGAAAATACAAGTCACCACAACTCAAAATTGACTTGAAGGCCCATGGATAAAATTAAATGTGTTCCCTCATAGCAACTTTTAATTAAAAATTGAAACATCAACAACAGGGCTGCGGATTCTGCAGTTTACATGTTAAAGATTAATCCATTTATTCTGCAATTAATTTATTTAGCCACAAACTTAGTTCATCAGAAATAGACAGGAGTGCATAATGTCACTAATTAAAATTCTTCTTACCCTCCTCCTCTACACATTATCTTCTTGTACAAACATTTCTCACCAAAAGTGCTTCTGTGGAATAGTTCTTCACACACTGAAAAATAAAAATAAATAAATATTACAACAAAGTAATTGTTGGAACTTATTGAGAAATAAAAAAAGAGATGCCATATCATTCTTGATTACAACCACAGTATTCTCTTCTCGACTGAATAAAACTACTACCTTCCTTTCGTATGCATTTTTCCTGGCAGTTTAGACTTTGAGGAATACCTCCCAGTTTAGCTCCTTTCTGCGGATTGTCTAATGCAGGGGGTCCTCAAACTACGGACCAAGGTCATTTACCCGGCCCTCCCTCAGGGTCAGCCTAAGTCTGAAACTACTTGAAAGCACACTACATCAGCAACAATCCTATCTCAACAGCTAAAAGCAGGCCCACACTTCCCATGGTAATAATAAAAGGTTTATATTTATTAAGATTGTTTTTTGTTTTAATTATTGTATTGTTTTTAATTATTGTATTGTATTTTATTGTTTTAAAACCAGCTGATCCCAAACCCATCTAAAACACAGACAGTGCTTTTCATCTCAAGAACAGACAAGCATCTCGAGCTCTAAGGATCACCTGGGAAGAAATCCCACTGGAGCATTGCAACGCACCCAAATACCTGAGAGTCACTCTGGATCGTGCTCTTACCTACAAGAAGCACTGCTTGAACATCAAGCAAAAAGTGCTAGAAACAATATCATACGAAAGCTGACTGGCACAACCTGGGGATCACAACCAGACACAATGAAGACATCTGCCCTTGTGCTATGCTACTCTGCTGCTGAGTACGCATGCCCAGTGTGGAACACATCTCACCACGCTAAAACAGTAGATGTAGCTCTTAATGAGACATGCCGCATTATCACGGGGTGTCTGCACCCTACATCACTGGAGAAATTACACTGCTTAGCCGGTATTGCACCACCTGACACAGCACAGGTTATCATCCTGAACCACCCAGGCCAGATCAGCGCTGGCTATGCCCCTGTGCTCGATTGCCACACTGCCCATATTGCCTGCAAATTTGCTGAGCTGAAGGAGAAAATTGACCGTCGTTCTGGTAAGAAACATCCAGGAAGTAGCAGCCAATAGTGAAAGGACCAAGGCAGAGACATCTCCAGTTCATCCCCTGTTTGGGTATCAGCCAGCACGTCAACAACTTAAATCTAGACATAGTTTTCTAAGATCTACAGAGACACTTGCTGGAACGCCTCAGCAAGCGAGAGTCCAAAAGTGGCAGGCTCAAACCCAGAGCCTCAACCAATGGCTGATACCAAATGAGAGACTCCCCCCCTGGGCACACAGAAAACTGGGTGACTTGGAAGGCGCTGAACAGACTGTGCTCTGGCACCACGAGATGCAGAGCTAACCTCAAGAAATGGGGCTACAAAGTGGAATCCACGACATGCGAGTGTGGAGAAGAGCAAACCACTGACCACCTGCTGCAATGCAACCTGAGCCCTGCCACATGCACAATGGAGGACCTTCTTGCAGCAACACCAAAGGCACTCCAAGTGGCCAGCTACTGGTCAAAGGACATTTAATCAATTACCAAACTCGCAAATTTTGTATTTTGTCTGTTTGTTTGTTTTGTTCTGTTATAAATGTAATAAAATTGACTGGTTGCCCTGACATGACAAATAAATATTGTTTTTAATTTGTTTTTTGTTTGTTTGTTTTGCACTACAAATAAGATATGTGCAGTGTTCATAGGAATTCGTTCTTTTTTTTTTTCAAATTATAATCCGGCCCTCCAACAGTTTGAGGGACTGTGACCTGGCCCTCTGTTTAAAAAATTTGAGGACCCCTGGTCTAATGGAATTAAAGAACCCAGAAACCTCCAGGCCCCGTTCTTGGGGAGTCTGAGAATCATAGTCCAAAATGTGACTTTTCCCAAGCTTTGCAGAGTTATAAAATAAATGGCAGGTTGGTGTTTTGAATATAAGAATCATCGACATAAATTTTCCTTCAAGTTATGGATATGTACTTTGAAGTCTGATTCCATGTGCATGTCAGACTAAATAAAAAATAGTTTAAGTGGCCTACATAGCTGTATTTTCCATAGGTATTACAAATGGGTAGCATTTTCTTGGTGGTGATTTATGTTGTAATGCTCTATTACACTAAGCCAGGGGTCTTCAAACTAAGGCCCAAGGGCCGGATACGGCCCTCCAAGGTCATTTACCCAGCCCTCGCTCATGGTCAACCTAAGTCTGAAACAATTTGAAAGCACACAACAACAACAACAATCCTATCTCATTAGCCAAAAGCAGGCCCACACTTCCCATTGAAACATTAATAAGTTTATACTTGTTTAAATTGTTCTTGATTTTAATTATTGTATTGTTTTAAAGAGTTTTTTGCACTACAAATAAGATATGCACAGTGTGCATAGGAATTCGTTCATTTTTTTTTTCAAATTATAATCCGGTCCTTCAACAGTTTGAGGAATTGTGACCTGGCCCTCTGTTTAAAAGGTTTGAGGACCCCTGCCCTAAGCTAAGGCATTTTTGGAGGGATGAACAATAGCAGTGAGTGGAGGGCAGAGAAAGCCATCTCAACCATCTGAGAAAGAGTCCTCACCAACTCCGAGCAGCTCAGGAGCTGTGAATAAAGCCTTCCCTCTAGGAAACAAAGTCAGGATGTAAATAGTGTGTTTTGTGTGTGAGCACGCATGTGTGAGAGTATAACAAGCATTAAAAGATATATTCTATTAAATTATCAATTCTTCTAGCTTTAAAATACACTGCTGAAACTTATATATAGCACTACAAACAAAGACCCACGAGGCACAAAGGAGACTGGATTGCTAAAAGTCATGGCAAGTCTTCTATTTAGCCTGCGCAGAGTGATAAAGAACTTACATCAATGTGTTTCATTTGGGCTAGAGAACAAAACTGAAAAATATAGCAACTGAGGTCATGGGTCAAAAAACCATCTGGCCTCTACTTGAATGAAGGCTTGCCAAGATTTTTGGGAAGTTACATTCCATTTACTATTGATTCGTGCCTTATGAACCTCCATACAGTACAGGTATTTTAAAGTTTGGGCTGTTATTTTTTTTAGTTTGAACAATTATTTAACAGATTTATTATATACTAGCTGTTCCCTGCCACACATTGCTGTGGCCCAGTCTGTGTATATGTGTTTTGTGTGTATATATATTTGTGTATATGGGTATATATGTGTGTTTGCTTATATATGTGTGGTTTTGTGCATGCGTTGTAATGTATTTGGGGGGGGGGGTTGGGCTTTTAAAATCTCTTCCGCTGTGTTTTTCAGTGTTTTTATGAGTGATGGTCACTTGTTGGCCTGATACGTGTATTGTGTCCAAATTTGGTGCCAATTCGTCCAGTGGTTTTTGAGTTATGTTAATCCCACAAATGAACATTACATTTTTATTTATGTAGATTTTGTGTTACAAGTACACACTTATATCTGCAAATTCTGCATCCATGGATTCTACACACGTCTTTAAAATATTTTTTATTCCAGAAATAAAACTTTGATCTTGCCATTTTATTTGGTGCGACTTGAGTAGCTATGATTTTTGGTATCTAAGGTATCTAAGGAGGGTCCTGGAACCAAACCCTATCAGATATGAAGAACCAGAGTATAGTATTTAATATCCTGATTTTTTGTTGGTTTCTTTATTGTGTGTGTGAGTTTGGTCTTCTATCCCTTTCTTTTGTTCAGTTTTCTCTCTAAACAGAGACAACCTCCTACATCTGTGCCCATTTAATTCCTGCTACTGCACCATCACCATCTACAATAACGTAATTTCACCTATAATACAGTGGACTGCTATATTGGTGGGAGGTAGGTTCTGGGTCCTGCATGGATACAAAAAAACCATGGATGATCATACTCCATATTATTAAATGGCAGTGTGAATGCACACACTTCAGTATGTCTGTGTTCATATCATCATCTATATCAGGGGTCCTCAAACTTTTCAAACAGAGGGCCAGGTCACAGTTCCTCAAACTGTTGGAGGGCCGGATTATCATTTGAAAAAAACATGAATGAATTCCTATGCACACTGCACATATCTTATTTGTAGTGCAAAAACGCTACAATAATTAAAATGAAGAACAATTTTAACAAATATAAACTTATTAGTATTTCAATGGGAAGTGTGGGCTTGCTTTTGGCTGATGAAATAGGATTGTTGTTGTTGTTGTGTGCTTTCAAGTCATTTAAAACTTAGGTTAACTTGCAGCGAGGGCTAGGTAAATGACTTTGGAGGGCCATATCCGACCCTCGGCCCTTAGTTTGAGGACCCCTGATCTATATAAATAAAAATGTCATGTTCGTTTGTGGGATTAACATAACTCAAAAACCACTGGACGAATTGACATGAAATTTGGACTCAATACACCTATCAGGCCAAGGAGTGACCATCATTCATAAAAACAATGAAAAACACAGCAGAAGATGCTTTAAAAGCCAAAAAACAAAGAAATAAATTACAACGCATGCACAAAACTACATATATAACCAAACACACATTTATACACATATACACAAATATATACACATATATACACACACAAACCACATATACTCAGATTGGGCCACAGCAACGCATGGCAGGGGACGGCTAGTCATATAGTAAAATGGGACATGATAGTCCATAGTCAGTGGAAATCACAGATCCAGAGCCTGTGGATCCGGAGTGCCCACTATAATTTGAAAGCATGCCAGAATTTTAAGAGAAAATAGGCATTAATCTAGGCCCAGTCAATGACATTTTGGTAGCAGATGTAAAGGACAAGATGGGGTTTCCACATCCCACATGTCAAAGCCAGACATCCAAATCTTACTTCCACATAGACAACACAACTCTGCCTTTCATCATATTAAGAGAAGTACGATTGCTTAAGTTTGTGGGATAGTCTGTTAAGTACACAAGACTTTCCCCAATGCCTCACCGCTTTCTCCCTTCCTTCTATTATCCGAACGTATCTCTCCTTACGAATCATCTAGAACGCTAAGATCTTCTGGGGAGGCCCTGCTCTCGCTCCCGCCTTCCTCACAGATGT